ATATTCTGGAAATAAGATCTTATGTCCATGGTCGTTTACAAATAGTTATTAAAACTAATATAAAGTAAAAACCTCTTTGATGATATAAAACATATTATAGATACATATAGTTATAATAATAATAAAAATAGCAATAAATTAACAATAGTACAATAATAAAAATAATTTATTGTATAACAATAAGAATAACAATAATAATATTACCAGTAAGTATAATTAACACCCAATAATAATGATTAAAATAAAAACATGATAATAATAAATACAATATTATTACGGAATTATTAAATAAATATTTAACAGAAGGCTGTCCATTAATAACGTCAACAAAAATTATAAAAAATAATTAAAAGAATTAAAACAAATCAATACAATCTTTCATACAACAATCAACTAGTTACAGTTACAAACAGTAATAAACTGACAAATTGTAACAAATAACAATGAATATAACAATATAAAGGATCACAAAGATGATTTTGTCAATAATACTAAATGTCGTTTAATTAATCCACCTAAACCAGAACTTGGAAAAATTAGTAAAATTTTACTAGAAAACATTAACAATAAAGTGAGAAAAGCCACCCTTGTAAATCAATGGCATAATACGGATGACGTTATAAATTGGTTCCGCAATATTAAAGACAAACACAACTGCACTTTTATCCAGTTTGATATCGAAGAGTTCTATCCTTCTATTTCTAAAGAATTACTTCAAATTTCACTTTTTCACGCCAAGCAACTTACAGAAATTTCAGAAAATACATCAGATATTATCAATCACTCAAGAAAATCATTATTGTTTACTGAACACAATAGTATCTGGGTCAAAAAACTTTTTTGACCCAGATACTATTTTGATTCTAATTTTGACGTCACTATGGGAAGTTACAATGGGGCTGAGGTGTGTGAGTTAGTTGGACTCTTTATTTTACATACTTTAAGTCAAGACTATGGGTTGAAAGCCGTTGGATTATATAGAGATAATGGACTTTGTTGTTTTTATGGAATTAATGGACCGCAATCTGAGAGAATAAAGAAAAACATCGTTCACCTTTTTAAGGAGAAATTTAATCTAAAACTTACTATCAAAACCAACTTAAAAATTGTAAACTTTCTTGATGTTACCTTCAACCTGTTAGAAAATACTTTCCAGCCATACAGAAAACCAGGTGACCTCCCATTATACATCAACGTAAATTCTAACCACCCTCCTAGTATAATTAAATCCATACCAACTATGATTTCTAACCGTATAAGCAATATTTCATCGAGCAAAAAAGTTTTCGATAGAGCAACATCGTTTTACAACAATGCGTTAGCAGCAAGTGGGTTCAATGAAAAGATAACTTTCCAAAAAAATCTCGCCCCACCAAAACCAAAATCAAGATCACAAAACATTATTTGGTTTAATCCTCCGTTTTCTAAATCTAATTAAAAAGCATTTTCCCAAAACACATAAGTTTCGCAAAACTTTTAATAGTAATAATTTAAAAGTCAGTTATAGCTGTCTTCCAAACTTCACCAATATTATTAACTCACACAATAAAAAAAGTATTATCTAATGTTTCCAACAGAATTGTTCCAACGTGTAACTGTCGGCAACCTTCACAATGTCCTTTGCAAGGTACGTGTCTTAGTAAAAATATTATTTACGTCTGCAATGTAAAAACATCACCACAGGATAGTGGTTTAAATTATATTGGTTTAACAGAGCGCACCTTTAAAGATCGCTGGTACAAGCATAAGAACTCCTTTCAATACGAAAGTAAAGCTAATGCCACAGAACTTTCTAAATATATCTGGGAAATGAAAAAAAAGGGATTTTCAAATCCTATTCTTACGTGGAAAATTATTGATAGGGCAGAACCTTTTAAACCCGGAAGAAAGTTATGTAACCTTTGTTCAATGGAAAAATACCATATCATTACATCATCTTTGAAACTATTAAATAAAAAAAATGAATTAATATCGAAATGTCGCCACGAAAACAAATTTGTTATCTGCAACTTTAGCGTCGTCTAAGCAAACACTGTATTATATTTTTGTATATAATTTTTGTTGTTGTTATGGTTTGTAACATCTGATGATCGCATATGGCGTGAAACTCTGAGTTATTGTACAAATTTAATTTTATTATTGTTTTAATATAATATATATTTGCTCTACTTTTGTATTGAGCACTGTCTACCGAAATATTACTTATATTACTGGTATATATATATATATATATATATATATATATATATATATATATATATATATATATATTATATATATATATATATATATATATATATATATATATATATATATATATATGTATGTATATATATGTATATATATATATATATATATATATATATATATATATATATATATATATATATATGTATATATATATATATATATATATATATATATATATATGTATATATATATATATATATATATATATATATATATATATATACATATATATATCCCGGTGGGAAATGAACTAGTGACTAGCGAGCGACTAGCGAGCGACTAACGAGCGACTAGCGAGCGACTAGCGAGCGACTAGCGAGCGACTAGCGAGCGACTAGCGAGCGACTAGCGAGCGACTAGCGAGCGACTAGCGAGCGACTAGCGAGCGACTAGCTAGTTTCATAGCGATTTTCAAGCGATTTTTTCTTATTTTATTATTTACTAATGTCTCTTACATCTTTAATAATTCGATTTTTAGTGTTGAGGCTATTATAATATGAGAATAATTGAACTTTAAACATTGCGATTTTGTAGCAATGTGTTGCTAGCTACATATCGTAGCTTTGTAGCTAGCTACAAAATATCTACAAATCTATAGCTGGTTGATAGCTACATGCCAAAATTTTTTTATAGCGATTTTATTACGATATGACTGTAGCTACAATAGCCTGTGAGTCTTTAGCTTATTAAGCTAGCTGTCCTCGTAGCCAAATTGCTGTCTTTATCTTTACAAATATCGATAGCTTTCGCTAACTTAAAAAAGCTAGCGATCCTCGTGGCCAAATCGCTGTCTTTATCGTAACGGTTATAGCTAGCTAATCGCTAGCCGATTTCCCTCCGAGATATATATATATATATATATATATATATATATATATATATATATATATATATATATATATATATATATATATATATATATATATATATATATATATATATATATATATATATATATATATATATATATATATATATATATATAAATATTTCAGAGCAAATTGATAAAGTCCTATTGCACCTGAATCCATGAACTTGTTTTTGCAAAACAGCTAAACTTTAAAGAAGCCATTAAAAAGTGAGTTTACCGTTTGATTGTAATTAAATAAAATTAATAGTTCGTAATTAAACCTGAAGATGCTAGTATCAAAAATCTTGCAAAAATTTCTTAAAATTAATAAAAAAAATTAGTATTAAGAGAACTTGCATTGATTGATGTTCACATATTAAATTAATTCAACTCTCATGTAAGACCTCGTCACTTGAAATATATATACATAATATATTGGCCGAAGAGACACGGGTTTCGAAGTGGAGAGGCACAATAGTTGATTTATAAATAGAGACCTCTATATCTAGATTTAAAAAAAAAAAAAAGATTTTCGATTAGAAAAAAAAGTCAGGGGACCAAATAAAGTTTAAGGGTTTTTTGTTTGCAGCCTCTGATCATCGCAATTATTTGTTAAGTATCGTTATTTGACAAAAGTGCAAATGTTTGGAATTTGCTCCATGTCTGGAACTTAGCCATTCTCAAACACCAAAAATGCTGGATCCGTCTCGCAATGCATACTACGCACGATTTTTACTACTCAAAATTAATATTCAAAACAAAGATATCTTTCAAATCAATAAATAACATAAAGCATACAAAGTTCACATCGTCGATTTTCCCACAGCGCACTACAACTATGCATTAAAATTTATCGCAAGTATTTTATATTGACAAAAAAAACTTGCAGTATTAATTTATTGTTGTTTTAAACAGTTTTTTCAATAAAAATTTAACATGGTTTTAAAAACAAAACGTGTTTTATTGTCAGTATGAACGGGGTGTCAAACTCAGGATAACATGTTTAGTTGTTAAACTTAGGGTGATAGTGAGTGACAGGGCTGGCGTGAGAAGTTGTCACATCGGGGGTTCCATTAAAATTTTTGCGATAAAAAAAATAAATAAAAGGTCCTCGATTTTTGAAATTTGCCGACTGACTTGTATAAAACGGTCAAATTTGTCGACTAAAAATTCATCGATGAATTTTTAGTCGACAAATTTCGTTGAATTAAAGCGAACTTTTAATTCAACGAAAAATTCATCGATGAAGTTAGGCTAGAGTTAGGATTATAGTATAAAAAATAAATAAATATGAAAGTCTAAACTTTAACTTTAAATTTTTCTTATTTTTTTAAACGCGAATATTATGACGAAAGAAAAACTTGAAGCGTTTTTCTTTCATCAGAATACCAGCGTTCTAAAATATTTCATCATCCTTTCCTAAATCCAGAAAATTAAGTGCGGAAGAAAAAAACTTATAGAGACTATACCAGTATAAACAAAAACAATATTAATACTAAATAAAAAAGTGTATACATGAGTATACACTTTTTGTTTATACTGGTATAGAGAGTATACCAGTATAAACAAAAACAATATTAATACTAAGTAAAAAAATGTATACATGAGTACACACTTTTTTATTTAGTATTAATATTGTTTTTGTTCATACTGGTATAGCCTCTATAAGTTTTTTTCTTCCGCACTTAATTTTCTGCACTCTTCTATTTATTTTACATTACATTACATTTTATCCAACTTATTAAATAGTATCGGACCATTTGTAAACAGAATGAAAATCGTATTCATCCGTTTGTTTATTACACTACCGTAAATTGTACACTTTAATTTATATGCTTTTATAAAAAAAAAGTAATAGAGAAAAAAAATTAAAATAACAATAAAAAAGTTTAAAACTTACATGTCAACAGTTTTTTGTTGAATTTTATTTAAAAGCTTTTGAAAATAGTAAATATACTAAATGACTTTATATTTATGCGATATAATTTATGAATTATTTATTCTATATTCATCTAACGCTACTCTTGTTTGCGTTTATAGAAACGTCAGTTACTAAATTATTTTCATATTATAATTTAATTGAATTTTAAACTATAGTATTTTAAATATTATTTTAACCACACAACATAAATCAATCAAAGGCTGACAAAAAAGGTTCATCTTCAAACGTAAAGCGCGGCAATCGGCACGACCTTTTTTGTGACATCAATAAAAAAAAAAAAAAAAATTTATATTTAATTTATTTAGCGTTGTAATAATATATACAATTAGTTCACCATAAAAAATAGAAAAAAATTACAAAAAAAACGAACAGCTTCATGTGTTTTATATATTTGCACATTCTGAGTTTTAATATTCTTCGTTCTTCATAAACTATAAATAAAACAATGATATAATATTAACTCTACAACCAAATAATTAAAATAAACAACACCCTCAAACATGTATGAACATATGTAACCTAAAAAATTCACAAAAAAACCTGTAGCCTATCAGAAAAGAGGTTATAGTGTCTTAGGGACCTGCTTATTTTATGCAACCTTTCTCTAAATAAAAAATAACGTTACGTCGTTAATTACACTTTTTTGTTCATCAAAACGTAATATATGTAAAAAATACATATATAGATACAAATATAAAAGGATTTTTATTAAGATTTTAAATTGAAAATAAGTTAAAATGAGATAAAACATAAAAAAATGAGAAAAAATATAAAAATTTTAATTTATTTTGTAAACTATAAAAATTTTTATTTTCATACACGCTGATAACATTAAATATATTGTTCTAATAACACAGATTAAAATATTTTAACTTTAGGAAAAAAGTAGGGCGTCTATAATTATTTTTGAGGGCGCCCGAGTAGCTGGGACTTTCAGCAATTTTTCTAAGGTTATTTTTTTTCTTTTTTTCTTTAAAATCTTTCAAAACAATCAAATAATCTGAAAGAATCTTTATTAAAGTTTTTTTAACTTTTGAATAACATTTTATATTACATATAAAATGTTATTCAAAAATGGAATGCACTATAAAAATATCATCAATGATGATACACGCGTTCTTCTAGAAGCTCTTTTGTTTTTTAGTTATTCTGTATCTTTTTCAACTCTTTAACTTTTATATCTTTTTAAAACACTAAAATTAATTTTAGATAAATTAAATGCTAAAATTTTATAGTTTTTTAAATACTAAAATTCAAACCACATTTAGAATTTTGATATTTTCCAATGATTTTATACTTAAGAAAATTTTAACTGTTTTAAATGTAATATGCAAACTTGGTGCAATTCTGATGGAAAACACTTTTAAACTTTCATTAGAGTAGAAAACAAATGAACGCTGCTGCGCACAATGCGCCATTTGGTGGAAATAGGAGTTTACTTATGTTTTTTAAAGATTTTTTCAATATTAACTTTTTAAATAACTTTTTACGGTATTAGGTTAGTGGTTCTTAATTTAAAAAAAAAAAATGCTATTTATATTTTTTCAATTTTTTTTCTTTGCGAGGAAGAGTTTCAAGGTTAAAAAAACAAATGTTTTTTATAAACTTTAAGTGCTTATAATAAAAATAATGTTTCTGAATTATACTTATATATTTTTAACTTCAATTTTTTTCAATTTAATTTTCAATTTAATTGAAAACCAAAATAGCAAAAAAAAAGAGTTTGTACATAATTTTTCTCGATTCAGTCGATAAAGATTAGTGAATTGAATCATAATACTCAAGCCGGTAGCCAAAATTTTTGTATGTAAAAAAAATATCCTGACTGCCTCTGTGGTAAGATACTTCAATTCATCTTTATGGGTGTCATCTATATTTAGAACCGACTCAGACTATTCTTTTAAAATCTTTTTTGTTTATAAGTTAAGGTTAGTTAAAAACTGATATAAAAAACGAACTGATATAACAAATAAAAACGAAGTTCAATAAAAAAACTATCGGTTTACAGATCTTTGTTACAGATAAGCTAAACTAATACGGAAAATATAAGAAAAATTTCTTCTTTTTAAATTTTTTTTTTTCTTAATATAAATATATGATGTCCTGAGAAAAAGTTATTTCAATATATTAAATGGTTTTCGGATTAATAAACTATTTTTTTCAGTAAGATTGTGACGCTTTGTGCGGTGGCCTACTTTTTAATGTAAATGGAAGCCTTTATTAAACGTCATTAAAAGAGGTTTTAACGATTGAATTTTTGACCAATAAAACAAAACCTCTGTGATAAGCTGTTATTGCCCAACTTCTAGAGAAGTTAAAAATTTTAGTACATTTTTACGAGATGACGTTATTAATGAAAGAAACCATGAAAAGAAACTAATCCTAGGTGATTTAATCTTAAGTTGCTTTGAGTATCACGTCAAGAAAAACGTAAATTGGTTTTATAATGGCTCATCGGAAAATGGAACTTTTGCAATAAACAACTCTACTAAACCTCAGTTGTCAACTTCTTTAATTATTAACGTTATACCCACCAATGTTTTTATTAATTTTTTTAAAAAAGGCATTAAAAAAAGCAAAATATCTGATTATTTTCCTATTTCGTTTCTGTATAGTTACTGACGCAAATTATTATGTAACGATAAAGAAATTCGTAAAGAAAAATAAACTTTTTACAATGAAACCATAATTTGTTTAAATATCAATTATGTACTTATTTTATGTACTCGATATTTACTTCTTTACTCAATATTAGTACAAGTTATTACTATGTTAGTACAATATTAGCACATTACTAACAAATTTTGTACTCAATATTTACTTTTCTAAGCGTTTTTTTGAAATATACGACATCAGTTTTCGTGAAGTAGAACAAAATTATAAAAAAAACTAAATAAAGTACGTAATGAATTTACTTGAAAGATGCAAACCAAGTTCTAACCGCACTTGGCAATTAATAAAAGTAATTATTCGTAACACAAAACACAAAGTTTGCCCTAGATTATTAACCTAGCACAACTCCCTAAAAAGTGATGCATGGTCTTTGTTGCGTGTTTAATAAACACCTTAAAACAAAAAACTTTAAGTTTTCTGTTGCAAAAGTCTAAATTTTCTGTTGGGAGTTTAAAACCCGCTAAAAAATACGTGTCGAGAATGTAATTTTAATTCCGTGAAATTAGTTATTATTACTTACCAAAACACCAATTAGGATATTAATTTTTTATTAATGGTATCACTGTTACAGAAACGTAGTACCCAGTAAGCACAGATTGTTTCTAAAACGTTTAAAAAACGTTAATACTCGTTTTAATAAGTTTTTTAAACGTTTTTAAAACGTCCTGTGCTTAGATGGTATGTTAGTGAGGGGATAGTCGGGAAAAGATAGGACGTGGGAAAAGTGGCACATTCCAAAAATTCCTATAGGAAGAAGTTCCTAATTGTTGTAATTTAAATAATGAAATTTCTTCTCTCTATATAGCAGACATTGCTTCGTCTCCCAGCGTTTGGTAAAAACCACATTTTCGAGAAGTAAAAAACGATTTTTTGAGGGGTGAAGTGGAATAAAGAAAATTGGTTGATCTACTATTTTTCCCATATCAATATTTTGTAATTAACCTCTTGAGTATTTTACTGAAAATAATGTGGTGAATTTAATGGTTTTTAGTTAACAATTTTTGTAAATGGTTGTTAATTACACGCTTGTCCCACTTCAGCCCGTACATGCCCTACATGCTTCCAATGACAGGTTTCTCTATAATCAAAAACATATATACTTTAATATAATCTGCTGTCAATCTAAGGGCACGGAATCAGTGCCCGAAATTATGCATTATTTGTTAAATCCATCCACTATATCAAAAAGATATAACAATTATTCTGGAAATATTTTTTAATGTCCCACTTCACACCACTCTCCCCTACTAAGTTTCTTAACAAGTGTGAAACCAATCATAAAAGCACGCGGCATTTAAATAAAACTTATAAAATACGTGAACTCTATTAAAACCGGCCATGAAAATAACGTGGTTTGGTTTATGCTTCGATCGTGTTGAACAAGTGTATTATTTCTGAAAATGAAACTAAACGTGAAACAAGTGCGGTCTAAATAAATCGATACTGAATTTAAAAAATAGTTTGTATCTGTAAGACTAAACGATAAAATTCCTAAATTTATGAGTTTAATAAACTAAAATTTTACTTTAACCTAGTATTTAATCTTACTTTCACCACGTATTTAAACTTAGTTAAGATATTTTCATAAACATTTTTGTTTTTATTGTTGCTTTTTTCATTGTTAAATTACATTTTGGTTTATTGTATACTTGGAGATCTAATCTTGATAATAAATAACAAAATATTTCTTACAAAAGCTTGTTTAGGGTTACTTCTCGTACAAAAGCTAACAATGTACCAGACGTACATACTTAGCTTTTGTACGCGAATATTGTATGAACCAGCATTCTCAAAACAAAATTAATAAAATTAAAAAAAAAATGTAGACATACGTTTGCCAAATGTATCTTGAGCAATGATTTTAATTATGTTACGTAACCTACTTACAACTTACATAACGTACCTTTGAAGTATAACTAAACATTGGTTTCTCATAATCTCTGTCTGCTAACATAAATGGTTTAACAAAGCGGAAGACAATAAGCAAGATAAGTATGCCGGAATATAAATTAAATAAAGTTAAATCTATATAATAAGCCAAATTATTATGACTATAAAAGTTTATGCTAGGATAAAAATTTTGTAAGTCCCAAATGCTATTTACGCAAGTTGTAGACACTGGCTACTTACGTAATTTAAGATTTGTTAAACTATTTTACTGTTCTCCGCCGTCGTGCCTAAATACAACATATAAATAGGCCCATTCTCAATCTAATATTGTGGAACAAAGGCTTTTATAACAGTTGGTAAGGTAAGAACTTATAAATAAATATAATGTTTAAAGGTTTTGTACACATCAAAGTAAAAACCATAATTTAATTCGATATTTAAAAGTTCACATTATTAAAAACTTTTTTTTTTTGACATAATTTATTTATAGGTTTTTTATGTTTATAGCCTTATAGGTTATAACC